TTTTTTTTTTTTTTTTTTTTTTTAAAAAAAAAAAAAAATCCGTGTTCCCTTCATAAAGGTTACCTTCACTCAAGCAGTGTCACTGTGTGGTGTTTGGGTACATCTGCCAAAACTGATAGAAATGTCAGATTAAATATATGTAGCTAAGAGACCAGCAGGATGTGTGCCCTGTCTGAGATTTGCAGCACTGAGTATTTCTCAGGCTGCCTCAAAAGCCAATTTACTTTATCTCTCTTTTTGAAGTGTAAGGCCTGTTGTACTACCAAAACTTTCCGTTTCTTATGGATCAGAAACCTTTGTTTTAGCCAGATGCTTCTAGCAATGAAAAAGGATGTGTGAATGTAAGCAACTGAATGTTTGGAAATGTGTATTTTTCTTCAGATGCCAAATGAGCTTGAAAAACAGGCTGGATGTGCTGTCACTGAGTGATAAAACAGGTCTGTTCACAGCCCCAGCAGTTAGGGCATCAGAGCAGCTTCCCTAATGCCAGCAGCCTGGTGTCACTGTGTTCCTGCAAGGTTTTTGTTAAAAGCTGGCTAAAGACCACAGATACATGTGGTTTCTCCTTCCATATATGTTTTCATTGCTGAAACTATTTGGTTACTAATTTTTCCAGCTCAGTATTTCACTTTGCTCAAAATGGGAATTGTGGCTTTTTATCAAAGAGCTTAAAAACCAGTATTGGTTACTTCAAATGTTTCTTGTGACAGCAGTGAGAAACTGCTGAAGGGCCAGGCGGGAAGTCTCATGGACAGACAAGCCCCTCATGAGGCCCACTCTTCCTTCCTCCTCCTTTCACAGCATGTCTCTTGTCTTTCTCTCAAGAGACTTATGGTAGTTTCTCAAATCGCCATATATTTGAGTTTTCTGCGTTTCCCTCCAGCACCCACAGCTCTGTTCCTCCTGTTCACACTACCACTTCTAGTGTGGATCTTGTGCATACTCCTGTTTTTCACCCACTGCATGGTGGACTCTTGGATAGGATGAGCCACACAGAAGATTCATATATAATGTCTGCTTGGGATTTTGTCTTGCTTTGGCAGAGGGACCTATTTGGTAACTGACCTTCTCAAAGTCCACTTGCATTTACACGCAGGGTAGTTTAATGTCTTCTTCCTCCTGCCCTTTCTTTTTGAATTTCAAGGGAAATTTTGTCTTGAAATCTCTCAGCTGCTGTATTTCACTGCTGCCCAGGTGAGCTGCGTGTGGTCTAGACAAGGTAAAGATGAGAAGCATGAAGGTGAGGTAAACAAGCGGGGCTGGGGAAAGAGTTAGCTGTTCACATAACTCCAGCCAAGAGAGAGCTGTTAGCTCTTACTAGATAAACACAGAGGCACAATGTAAATGCTCTCTACTTGTATAGATTTCTTTTTTGTTTTCAACTCCTCTTTAGTTTTAGTATCTCTTGCAAAGATTTAATTTAAGCCTTCTCTGTGAGCTGTTTGTGGAGTCTGCTTCCAGCAAGAAGAGCAGAGAAGCAAGAGGTCTTACTGATTAGATTAAATATCTGGGTCACTTACCGTTACCTGTGTTTATTCTCTGGTAAGTTTTGATATTGGAAGAGGATGAGATAAAAGGAACGTGTGTAGAAAGAGATAACTACAGCTGGAGCTGCCCCAGGCAGAGGCCACTTTCTAAATGGATTTGGAGATGAGCTTTTCCTATCAGTTTTGGGTCCTGTGTGAGGAGATATTGGGCTTGTGCAAACAAGCTTGCTTCTTTTTTTTCCCCCTCTGTTGAGTTAGTAGGTATCCTTGATATCTGAAAGCCAAACTGGACAGTCTTCCCTCCTGTGTGTCTTTCTCAAAGAATAGTCTTAAGCTTTGTGAGTCATAATGCTTAGTTCAGGGAGTTGAATCATTTCTTTAAGCTTTGTAAAGGCAATAAACATCATTCAGCTTCTGTTTTTCTATAGGAGCAGATTTTCTTCACTTAGTTATTAAGTTTGCATATCAAATTTGACTAATTCTTTTTCCTATACTAAACTTTAAAAGCTGGCAGGGAGGGGAAGCATTCTCCCAGAAGCTAGCATTGGCATTTCTGCGAAAACTGATATTCTGGCTGGCTGGAGACCACCAAAGGGAAAAGTAAGTATTCTTGTGCATCTTCAGATGCCTGGTAACTGGCTCAGGCTATGTGAGCTCTCTGGTGCTCCAGTTTCTCTGTCTGTAGTGAGAATGTTAAGAATTTTTCAGGATGTTTCCGCTCATTCAGTGTCTATAAAAAGTTTCACAGGCTTTGCAGCAGTGTTTGAAGTTGCAAGGTCAGTCATGTTTGCAGAGATCTTGGTTACTGCAGGTGTCAGGCAGCAAGCAAGGAGCTTCCAGTGCCTCCCCTCCTGCTATGCAGAGTGAAATGAAACATCGGCTTCTGATCTGTTTCTGTTTAATACCTTTATCAATGATCTGGATGAGGGGATCAAGTGCACCCTCAGTAAGTTTGCAGAGGACATCAGGTTGGAGTGTTGACCTGCTCAAGGGTAGAAAGGCTCTGCAGAGGGATCTGAACAGGCTGGATTGATGGGCTGAGGCAACTGTATGAGGCTCAGCAAGGCTCAGTGCTGGGTCCTGCACTCGGGTCACAACAATCCCATGCAATGCTGCAGGCTTGGGGAGGAGAGGCTGGAGAGCTGCCTGCCAGAAAAGGACCTGGGGGTGGTGATTGAGACCCAGCTGAGTATGAGCCAGCAGTGTGCCCAGGTGGCCGAGAAGGCTGATGGCATCCTGACTTGTGTCAGAAATAGTGTGGCCAGCAGGGACAGGAAGGGGATCTTACCCCTGTACTCGTGCTAGTGAGGCCACACCTCGAGTACTGGGTTCAGTTTTGGGCCCCTCACTACAAGAAAGACCTTGAGGGTCTGGAGCGTGTCCAGAGGGGCAGTGAAGCTGGTGAAGGGTCTGGAGCACAAGTCCTGTGAGGAGCAGCTGAGGGAACTGGGGGTGTTTTCATAAGTGATAGGGCAAGAGGAAACGGCTTCACATTGTGCCAGGAGAGATTTAGATTGGATATTAGGAAAAATTTTTTCACCAAAAGGGTTGTCAAGCACTGGAACAGGCTGCCCAGGGAAGTGGTTGAGTCACCATCCCTGGAGGTATTTAAAAGATGTGTAGACGTGGCGCTTGGGGACACGGTTTAGTGGAGGACTTGGCAATGTTAGGTTAACGGTTGGACTCAATGATCTTAAAGATCTTTTCCAACTTAAATGATTCTATGACTTGCAGGACAGCCTGATTCCTTGCAACCTGCTGAGTAGTGAGTATTGCATTTTAGGTGGTGCAGAAATCAGAAACTTCTGAGTTAAAATCTTTCTGCAGTGTTAAAGCTGTCAGTGAGTTGTGCACAGGCTGTGGCCAAGAACTGGCAAAACTTGATAGCTGAAATGTGCATCTTGATCTCAAACCATGTTCTTTATAAAAATGTTTCCACTTTTTTTTTTTCCTTCGTCCCTAGAGCTGGCTGTGTTTTATTTTTTTCTCTGCTTAACAAGTTGTTGTCAGGGAAGATGACACCTGTGTTGTTTTCATTGTTATTACCAAGTCTTGAGATCTCTGCACTGAGTCAACTATGAAGCAGAGAAGCAGGCTGGACAGCCAAAGCACCAGTGCCTGCACTCTTCAGATAAGAAAATGAAGGAAAATCAAAAGTCTAGGATAAGAAACGCTTTCCAAGTTTGTGTCTTATCCAGTGATAACATGTTTCTACGTGCTTCAGACCAAAGCACTGTTAAAATCCTGCTGGGTTTAGACCTGACCTCCAGAAATTAATAAACATGACAGGGTGTATAGACTATGGCTTCATATCTTAAAACTTGTACAGTTTTTGTCCTTGCTCTTTGTATTGAAGAGTTGTTACAAATCTCCCTCTGAGAAATCGCCTTCTAATCTCTAGCCTAAAATTAACCACAGTTGGTTTCTCTTCTCTGCCAGCTGTCCTTCAGCAGAAGCAGAGATCTTCCTCCTCATTGTTTTGCATACTTTTCCTAGAACTGACCTAACTACTAGATTCCTCTAGTTCTTGTTTCTCTAACCAAGGTCACTTTACTTCCCTGATCCCTGTAGTTCTGTCCAGAAATGATGAATTCAAACCAGGAAGGCTGGAGAAAGACCTGTAGCAGATGAGGCTTTGTCAGTATTTTGTACAAGAGCCTTGGACATGACAGTTGTCTCTTCTGGAGTTGCTTTGTCTGATAAATCCAAGGATCTCATTTGTTTCTACTCAGGACTATTTTCTGCTGTGGTTTATGGTGATCACAAAATAAGCAAGACACCCTTGTGTCTTCTCCTTCTGTTTCCAGCTGCTCTGTGCAGATTGGATTAGCTTGTTTGCTAAAATTCATTGACACCCTAATGGTTAATTCCCCATTGCTTCCATTACATGCAGTTTTTGAGGGCAGCCAATTTTCACATGCAACATCATGGTCTTCCTCCAGGGTGTTGGTTATGTCTGCAAAAGTATCTACTGCAACTGTTCTAAACAAGAGTAAAGCACCCAATTTCATTGAGGTTGCTGTGTAGTCTGTGTGTTGTTAACAGTAAGTGTGGATTGTAAGCACTGGAAAAAGCTTGGCAGCATGCCTGATTGCGTTGTCACTGGGAGGGTGCAGAAGTGACACTGGTACTCAGACTTGACAGTGAAGGCGTTTAATACAAGATTCTCCAGACACTGTTTAGTTATTTTTTGTGTCCAAAGAGTGCCCGGGAGGTAGGTGACTCTTTCCTCTGGCCAGGCTGCCAGTCACCATGCCTCCTGCTTTTCTTCCTTCTCAATGCACTAGTTCTCACTCGCCTCTTTTGACAGTAAATGACAATTGTGGAGGAGGATACCAGCTTTCCCAGAAGTGCTTTTGGTGCCTGGCATAACAGTGCAGAGATCGAGACCGGGATGTGATGCAGCAGCACAGCCGAGTCACCTTGTTTTCCCCCTCTCTCCCCCATGGCTGTGCAGGATGTGGTGCAGGAGGCTGGCGTGTCTGTTCAAGGTGCCGTGCCGGCTGCGTGGAAGCACTAGACATTGCTCGCCGTGGCTGCCCCGTGACAGAAGGAGCGTCCTTGCTGCTGTGGCTCGCCGGTATCACACAGCCCCAGGGTCCCTCAAGTGTGCCTGGCAATTACACGGTGACCATCTAGGTAGGTGTGTTGGGTGCATGGCTACCTGCGTTGGAGTCTATCTGGGGAGAGGAGTGAGACTTTCCTGACCTTGTTCCCCGGGAGTGATTTTTTTGTTTGTTTTTTCTTCTGAAATGGCCTGCTTTAGAGGGATGAAGGCTTGGAGGCTCATGCTCCCTTTGGGAATTCCCAAAGACAGGATGGAGCAGGTTTGTTTGCTGGTGGTAAGTCCTTTATGATAAACAAGGCAATGCTAAATTGGAAATCAAATCAAAGGGATTTCCAAACAATAACTGCATCTGAGCCTTGCCCTGTCAGTCACTTGTTTTCTCTGTAATGCTCAGGGCTCTGACTGGCAGGCAGGATCTTTTCCAAAATAGATGATTCTGGGATGGCTGGTTTGGTGTGTGCCCTGCTCTCTTATCCCTGCTTGTGCAGTTTTCCTTAAAACACTGCTGGGTGAACCACAGTTGTTAGAGCAGGTTTGCAAGCAGCCTGTCTGTGTGGCTGGATGGCATGAACAGCAGGATGCAGGGGGGCATAAAAGCCTTTTTGATGCAAATCATACCTCACTGTCTAATGCTGATTTCTGTCATGTTTTGGAGGTGGCTTGGTTAACGGAGATGTATGTTTCCCTATGGCCTGTTTGGTTTGGTCCAGTGTCTGTCTGCTTGGGTGATGTCTGCTGAGGCTAGTTAGACATTGGTACTCTGAGTCACTTATAAACAAAGGGAGTTGCTTGATACCTTATCCAACACAGGGGCCTTGGTGAAGGGCGTTGTTGTTTTCCCACTGCACAGTGACCTTGGATACTTGGATTTCAAAGCTGAATAGGACTAGAACAGGAAAGGCTCTCCTGTTGCATCTTCTGGCTCTGACCCTCTTCTGAAGGGCTTTGAGTTTTCCCAAGCTGTCCCAGGATGGAACAAGGAGGAGAGGCTTTATTGTAATGCTAAATAGATATCAAAACTTTGCATCAAGGTCTTGATGTTGTCTGTAATGTTTGTATAGTTTGGGTGTTGGTGTGATTATTTGGTTGACTCTTATCTGTATTCCTGTGCTGGGCTCTACAACTATGTTATGTACAGCAGCTGCTGTACAGCTCTGAACTTACTACTTGTTGAAGAGGGATGAGAGGTAGGTATGTGACCAGCATGTTTGCTAGCCAGACTCGTTGTTGCAGGATGAAGTTGCCTGTAGACTTGCTAAGAAAGGAGACTAAGAAAGATCACTGACAGCCAGGCCTTCTGTGAAGGTATTCTGCCTGGTCTTCATCCCATGACGAGCTAGCTTAATTTATGTAAAGAGGTGTTAAGTCTAACAGCCTCTGCATCCCCTATAAGTGGGATCACAACCTGTGGGCCCTTGGCTTCAGTTCTTGGCTTTGTTTTTTCCGCTGTTCACACCAGTGCATCTTTTGAGCCCGTCCCTCTTTGCAGAGCTCAGGTATGCGAACACGTTGATGCGCTTCGATTTTGTCTGGCTACGGGACCACTGCCGCTCAGCTTCCTGCTACAACACCAAGACGAACCAGCGCAGCTTGGACACGGCTAGTGTGGACCTGGGAATCAAACCCAAGGCTGTCCGGGTAGATGAGACCACACTCTTCCTCACATGTAAGTAGCAAAGTGCCTGTGCCCTTCATGTTTTACAGACCACCAGCTCTGCTTGGAGGGAACCTTGTTGATGGATCCCACTCTTAGGTTTGCTGGGAGAGGGCAGCCTTATCTCTAAATCAGTAGCTGTTTTGAAAGAGATTTAGCTGTAAGCAGATTTTAAACACTGCTCTTCTGAGCAACTGTTACTGTAAACATGCCTCAGTCTTAAATTTGTGTCTGCTTTTCCTCTCCATCTCCCCCAGCCCTTTTTGGGTAGAGATGTGTGTATCTTCAGTGTCTGGGTATTTTATTGGTTTGTTTGAAGACAGCAGCAATGCAAGTAGTGAACAGATTGGTCAATAAATGGTTGGTTTTCTTTTCCTTACCTTGTCCTATTTGAGCTGGTATCCCTGAGCAGAATTCACATTTTATGTCCTTTCTCCTCAGCTTCTCAGCTGCTTTCTTCCTTTTGTTGTAACTTACCTTTATTTATGGGCTTGTCTTCAGTGTTTTAATTTTCCTTGGAGTCCTGTCAATAGAAAGCAAAGCCACTGAAGTTGAAACACTTAGTTCTGAATTTGGAGCTGTTGCAGCAATGGCATGCTTTTAGGACTTAAGGCTTCAACCAAATAGTATTTTGGGTGGGATCAGGGTGCAAAGAGTCTGTCACCAGACAAAATTAAAAGGGTGAGGACTGTCCTAGACTGATGGTTGCACTGACCCCAATCTTGGGCCGTTCAGTGCAATTGCCCTGACTGTGACTCTTCTCCCTCGTCAAAGGGCCGGATGGGCATGTGACACGGTATGGGCTCGAGTGGCTGGTGAAGAACAGCTACGAGGGGCAGAAGCAGCAGGTCATGCACCCGCGGATTCTCTGGAATGCAGAAATCTACCGCCAAGCCCAGGTCCCATCCGTTGACTGCCGGAGTTTCCTGGAGACAGACGAGGGGCTGAAGGAGTTCCTGCAAAACTTCTTGTTATATGGGATTGCTTTTGTAGAGAATGTCACTCCCACCAAAGAGGACACAGAAATCTTAGCAGAAAGAATCAGCTTAATCAGGTAACTAGGGCTGCACTGGGAAGGCCAATGGCAGCTTTATAGAGGAGCTGTGGAAGGTAGACACTTTTTTTGTTTTGGTTTGTTTTTTTTTGTTGTTGTTGTTGTTGTTTGGAAAGGTGCTGCTGCCTTATCCAATATATTGTGCAGTGTGGCCTGCCTTGCAAACAGCATCTTCTGCAGCCTCTGGCCACTCTGGTGAACAGAGATGGAATATTGCACTGTAGGATCTGACCTCTTTTTAGGGGAGAGCCTGGAGTCACTAAGTTATGGAGCTGCCTCAGGAGCATGCAATGACTTTTATGATAGTGGGACTGTGCACAGAGAGAAATGACTGAAGGAAGTAGCCTGTCTGGGAAGACTAGAGCTTTGCAAGGAGAGACATTTCCTGTTATGACTTGAAAGGTTAGGAGGGCAGCCCTGGCCCTGGGAGCCAGGGAGATCAAAAACAATTTGTAGCTCTCACTAAAGAAAAATATTGAGAAATGTTTTTTCTGTGTTTAAAACACGCCAACAGCATGGCAAGCTGGGGTTTGAGTTTCACATTTTATCCAAGCTGCAGAAACAGTTTAACTTGCCTTGGGCCACTGGTAGAGGAGGGATTTCTTTTAATGAATAGTCAATCCAGACAGAAATGAGGGGCTCCAAGGAATATCCAGCCAATTTTTTTGTCCAGGTACCCTTACCCTGTAGCCCCTGTTTGTCCTTGCCTTCTGTCTGTTCCCTTCCATGCATGTTGTAGAGGAGGAAAACACAGGATCCTAAGGACAAGAAATGGGACTATTGGGTAACCCTGTGGTGGGTACAAAGAAAGTCTGGCTACACTCTGTCAACTCTTCATGTCACTCAGTGGCTTCCTTGATTTGACTGGAGCTGATGTTTGGTGTGGAAAGAACATCTGTAATTGTGGAGGGGAAGCAAGACTCGTTCCCAACAGTCTTTTTGGGTGAAAAGAGAAATTGAAAACTAGAGGAGGCACTAGAAGCACCATCTCTTAACAAAATTCACATTGTCAAGTTCTTCTGCTTTAATTTATTCTGTACATAGGATGAAGGGGAGTAACCTCAAATGCAAGAGAGGATTTGCTTTAGCACCACACTGGTCCCTGCAGTGCTTTGTGATAACTGCTCACCTCTTTTGCAGGGAGACCATTTATGGTAGAATGTGGTACTTTACCTCCGACTTCTCTCGAGGGGACACCGCTTACACCAAGCTGGCTCTGGATCGTCACACTGACACAACCTACTTCCAGGAGCCCTGCGGGTAAGTGCTTTTGCTGGTTCACAGACCCACAGTGCAGAAGGCAGGGGCAATTCACAGTGGTGCCATTTCTAGCAACACAGGCTTCATTGTCTCCAGTGCTGATGATGGGATGTACTTCCAGTCACACAGCAATTCTGGGTCCTGTCTGATCCCTGTGGAGTTGGGTAGATCACTTTTTGCTTGAAACTTCTAGGTCTTCCAGAATGCAGGCAGTGAAGGACTTGGCTATTAGATAGTTGGCTGCTGCTTGGTATGGCTCTGGTTCAAGTAGTCTTTGTAGCCACAAAGAAAGCTCAGTGCTGTAGTCATTTCTGTGCTACCCTGAAGCTTATCCAGCAATCTCTTCTGAAATCACCCTCCTGGGTCTCTGAAGTGACACCCAACATTCAACCTTGCAGAAATGAGCAGTTGATTTGATTTGTCTTTCAGGTACATCTGGCGAGGCAAGGCTCTATCCTGCAGCAAGTGCCTCTTATCAGCTGTTGTACAAAGTTGCTGCAAAAGTTTGCTTTGACTTAATACTTCTGACCTGGGTGAGCCCTCCTCACCCACATCAGCACTGTCTCTCTTGCTGGCTGAGCTCTGTTAGCAGTAGCTTCTGGCAAAGGAGGGAGAACGGGTCTCCTTGGCCCAGCCTGCAGCAACTGTCTCTGCCCTCCCAAGCTGTGAGAGTGGTAACTGCTGTATGTGCTGTGCTCACGTATGCTCTGGGCAGTTGCTCGGCTTCAGTCCAAACAGGTTGAGGTTTGCATTTTGGCAGTGGTGCAGCCCTCATGTAGTCAGAAACTGGGCTTCCCCAGCCCTCCGAAGTTCACACCTCTGCTTTTAAAAGCAGTTTGTAGCTACAGCATTGTAGCCCAAATGCTACTTCACAGACTGCTTCTCTGGTAGAGCCTCTAGCCTGTGATTCTGTACACAGCTGGGGAAAGGCAAGCTGCAGCCCTGATCATGGTTCACAGTGAAGTGCAGGAGTCTTGGTCCTATTTTCTTGCTTAATTTTTGGGGGTCTGCTTTTATCTCAGTCAAGCAGAGAACAGATGGAATTACTGTGATCTGTTAGGGAACTAGGGCTGCACAGAGAAATCATCCAGTCCACACCTTCTGCCCTAGGGCAGGATTAGCTCTTCCCAAGTCAGGCTGTTAACTTGCTAAACATCTTAATGGGAAAGGTCTGTGGTGCAGAGCTGTAAAAAGCAGAGGAGGACTAAGGGGAGAGATCTGTTGGCTGCATTTGGATTTCTGAGCAGCCCTACAGACCAGAAAAGGTAGAGTTACCTAGGTGGCACCCTGAGCACTGTTCTCTGTGCCCAACCAGGCAGGAAGCTTTTGGGTGTTAGCATTCATTCTGAAACAGCTTGGTGTTGGGAGCAGAGTAAGTGGATTTTATTGTGCTCCGTGAAGCTAGAAGTTTATGCATAAAGCACAGGTCCTGCCACGCTCTTCAAGCCAGATCTAGTTGGCTTCCCTGTTTTCAGTGAAGAGCTGACTGCAGAACCCATGTGTTTTCATGCTGACTTGTTTTAGAAGCTCACAAAATCTTCTCCAAAACGAAATAAAGAAAAGTAATTATTAATCAAAATTTAACCCTACAAAAAAGCTTTGATTTTTTTTATTTTTTTTTTTAAACTGCTCAGTGCCAGAACTATAGAGCTCATTAGCTATTTTTATATCTACCTTTCTTTTCCACTTAGAAGCATTCCCTTCAGGTAGGTGTATTCTCATCTGCAGCCAACTGAAGTATATTAAGCAATGACAGCATGGGCTAAATTAGTAGGGCCAACCATTAATGCTTGCAGTTCTGCAGAGCCATAGTTGCGCAGGAAGAACATGAATTTCTGGCTTTCCTGAGCCCCCGTCTCTGCCAGAAATCCCTTCTTCCCAGGCTGTTTCAGACTTGCTTCCAAAACACTTGAAACAGTCTTTGACCTGCTTCTAAATTAAATGAGGTGTTTTTCAAGAAAGATGTGTTCATTTGAATGTCTCTTTCCTCCACTGCTTTGGCTGAAATCAGCCAAATCTGACGAGTCTCAAGTTAAACTATTGCAAAGGGTAGAAGATAGAAACTCCCCAAGCTATGGGAAAGACTGCAACATTATCTTTCTCATCAGGTACCAGAGAGCCTCCTGACCTCAGAAGATGCTTTTTCAGTGCCCTGAGCTGCAGGAGAAGGTGGTTGCCTTTGAGGCAAAGCATTCTTTGCTCCAGCTCTTGTGGACTGACTTTGTAAAGTTATCCTGAAACTGTTGAGGCTGGGAGGGTGGTTAGAGCACTGGGGTGAAAATGTGCTGGTGGAGCTGGGAGATCCTGCCACGTCACTAGTCATGGGATTGGTTTTAGAGGCCCTGAAGGGAGATGAGAAGATAAAGGCTTTCCCAGAAGGTCACAATTAATTTGCTAACAAGTGAAGTTGGTACACTGTGGAAATTGGAAGTAGGTGGCTCAAGGCAGCTCCTGGGTATTTGTTCCTAACAGTACAATGCCTGCCTTGAATGAAGAAAAAAAAGGAGCTTCAGAGAAGTAATAGAAGGGCAAAAGCTGAGTTGGATGACTTCCCACTAGGGAGGGGATGTCCCTGTAGGTAAGCTGCTCACTGGGGACTCCTCCGCTCCAGGCTTTTCAGAGGATTGTTAATGTGGTGCCAAGCTTGAGGGACTTCTCCTGACAGCTTGTGGGAGACCATGATGTACCTGCCTTTGAATGAATCACCCTGAACTCCCCATGTAGTTCTGGAGATCTAAACGGTACAATAAGCATTTCTGTAACTGTCCTCTTGTTCTGAAATGATCTAGGGAAGTTCATTTTATGCTTTTGAACTTCTGTGTCCTCCTGCCTGGAAAGACTTTGGGTGCCACGGGTCCAATCCACCACTTGAAGTCTCCCAGACTCATGTCACTTGATTTGAGAGGCAGTGTAGGCAGTTAGGGGCCTTCTCAGAAAGCAAAATGAGTGAGATTTGGGCCTGAAGAAATGGCAGGTACTGCCATTTCTTGCTGGTCTGTCTCCATTTCCTGGCAGGTCTTTGAAATTAGAAGGGTGGTGCACCCATCTACATCTGACTGGGTCTGTGGGGAGCACCTTCTGTCCATGGGACAGGCAGCCAAGGTCTTTTCTCTTGTGCTCTGTATTCTCTCACCCATGCAGCATCCAAGTGTTTCACTGCCTGAAGCATGAGGGCACGGGCGGGCGGACGTTGCTGGTGGATGGTTTCTATGCAGCGGAGCAGGTTCTCCGGCAAGCCCCTGATCAATTCGAGCTGCTCAGCAAGGTGCCACTGAAGCATGAGTATGTTGAAAATGTGGGAGACTGTCACAACCACATGATCGGAGTTGGCCCCGTTCTCAATGTCTATCCCTGGAACAACGAGCTTTATCTGATCAGGTAACATCAACGTGAAGCCTCTTGCTTATGGGAAGGGGATTGTAGCAGATAGTGGTGGCTTTCCAGAAGATATCACAAACTAAAAACCAGTGTATATTTGAGGGGCAAGAGTGAAACCACAGAAACACCCTGTGTTTCCTCTTGGGCTGTGTATTGCTGCTTTAGAGGAAGTATCAGAACCACTGATACAAAGATGGATGTCAGTGCTGAGCTTTGAGCTTTGATTTTTTTTTTTTTTTTTTTTTTTTTTTTTTTTTTTTTTTTTTTTACTTCTGTCATCCTCTTTTCAACTCCATGCCCTTCTCTCACTTCATTTGAGAGGCAGTAGAATTCAGCCTTTCTCTGAAAAAGCTGCTAGAAACTAGCCTGGTGTACAGAGAACAGGGCTAGTGCAGACTGGTCCCCTTCTAGAGGAAATTTGGGCTGCTTTCTGAAACTCCAGCTTGGCTTAGCACAGGAGGCTGTCCAGCACTGCTTTGTGCATTTATTCTGAGCAGCCCTCAGTTTTGCCCATTGCTGTGGCATATCCTTCCATGGAAGACCAGCAAGAACAGTTTTACACTTGACAGTAAACTCATCCTTGCTCCCGGTGTTGTGTATTCTCCTGGAAGTCCTGCACTTGCAGCCTAACCTCCCTAGTCCTCTCTATAGCCTTCCTTAAATACTGACCAATCCTACAAACACCTGAGGTTCCCTTTAGAAATACGTGGCTGTGCTTGTGGAGTCATGTGGGCACTCTCTTTTCTCTACTTCTAGATACAATAACTATGATCGTGCTGTCATCAACACCGTGCCTTATGATGTTGTGCATCGCTGGTACACTGCTCACCGCACACTCACCGCAGAGCTCAGGAGACCAGAAAATGAACTGTGGGTCAAACTGAAGCCAGGCAAGGTAGGACTCAGAGTTGGGAGGCTCATGTGTGTTTGGTACAGGGAGGGTGGCAGGGTGCTCCTTTGGATGTGCAGGCTTGCTGCCACTAAGGTAAATGCTTCAGGCAAGCTCTGTATGCTGTAGTTTTCCTCTCTACAGCTGTTTTAAGCTGTCTGATATTACAGTACTGGCATCTGTTGTGTGTGTGTGTTCCTACTGTACTGAAAGAATATGAGCTTTCAGATAAGGCAGAAATGTTTCATTCAAACTCTGCCTCAGAGGAAAGTCAGCTCTGCCTGGGGGAGAGGAGGAAAACAGTCACTGAAATGAGGGCCCTGGAAGCTGAGAGGCTGGGAACACTTAATGTTCATCCTCTAAGTTCTTCTAGAAGAAAATTCTATTTTGATGGAAATATAAAGGTCTGGGAAGCTGAATTTACTTCTGAGGTTATTTTTGAATCCTTACATTGCCAACAACTCATGGGACACCTGGGCGCTATCTGCACTGTCCCAGCAATGGCTAAGGTGCCTTCCCACACCTTGGTACTGAAAGGAAAAAGTTCTGCCCTGCATTTGAAAGGCTGATGCTGGGTGCAGCTTTGGAGGAGCTTGAACTAGAGCCACAGTTGTAGATTTGAAGGTATTGCTGGTGTATGGCTGCTTCCTCCAACTGTGCCTGCTTGAAGGGGTTTTATTCCTACAGGGTCTAGATTCAGTCTGAGCTCAGGGCACTATAAATGAAAGAGTCCAGCAGGGGTGGTGAACAAATCAGAGCCCCTACACCTCTCTGTTCCCAAGACTGCCCTGGGGGGGAAGTGACACTGTAGAGGCAGAAGATGCCCAGTTTCTGTTGCTGGTGGACTACTGCGCGACTTCTCCAGTAGAAAAGCAGAGAAACAGCCCAACGTGTTTTTGTGCTTTGCTAGCTGTCATGTTTCAACCTGTGGCTAGCGGCAGAGCAGAACTGCTGGCTTCAGGTAGAACAGCTGTGCTAGATCACATGAAACATCTGGCTATAGTCTGATGTGCCATCTCTAGTGTTGGAACAGGAAGTGTCATGCTCACCGTGGCTTACCTTTACTTGCTCTTCCAGTCTCTAGGGATCTCCAGCGCTAGGACCTGTCCTGGCCCTGGCTGTGGTGCTTGCCCTTCTTCTGCTAACCTTTTCTCTTCACCTGCAGGCACTGTTTGTAGATAACTGGCGCGTCCTGCACGGACGGGAAGCATTCACAGGGTACCGCCAGCTCTGTGGCTGTTACCTGACAAGAGATGATGTGCTAAACACCGCACGCTTACTGGGACTCCAGGCTTAGCCCAGACCACCCTCTGGAGAGACAGTCAGACCTCCAGCACCACTGTGCTGTTGCATCACCATGCTGAAAATGTTGCACATACCTCGGACACCTCCACTCTCTCTAGGCAGTTCTCGGTGCCCCCTCAGGAGAGGGAGCAGGTGGAAGCCAAAGGTCATGGGAGCCTTACGGGACCATATTCTGCCTTTGAGCATGGTCAGCTCTTGCTGTCTGTGCACCCAGCCTGGTCTTTCTAGACAGTCTCTCTGTCTTAGCTCTGCTGAGTGAAGGTTAATTGCACCACAGGAAGTGCTTGAAGCGCCTATTGATGTGAAGTGCTCCTCCAGTCAAGTGCCTTTGGGACTTGAAATCTTCATTTTAACTTGTTGTTCAGCCTTTTTGTCAGCTGGCAGTTCTAGGGGATTTTTTTTTGTAGCAGAGCAGAATGGAAATCTTTAGGGTCTTATCTCGCCTCAGGCTGGATTTTACTTCTTCTAGAGGAAAATTTAAAATCTGTGGTCCCCATTTGATTAAAATGCCGCTACTCAAACTGAGGGTTGTTGGCATATTTTAGTGACTTCTTTCTTAAATATACTATGTACCCCTATAACAGGCACTGGTACAAGCCGTGCTGCTTGAGGGATGGCCTGGAAAGAGAACCTTGTACAGTTAGGGTGTTTCTGAAAAGGTTTAGATTAGAAGGAAAGGGGGAAGTAGCAAGATCTGTGTGTTGGGAAGAAGAGATGACTGTTAGATGAGGGATGTATTTCTCCCATTTCCTTGACTTCTGGTAATGTAATGCTTGTATTATTTCTGCCTGTTGCACTGTGCTTGTATCAAGGGCAAAGGCTCAGCAGCTACAGTATTTGCTGACAAATTTCCCACTGTGCCTCTCTTTCATCTTTTCTGAAGAATGAATTTGTGTTAGGTCATCATTGCACTGGCTGCTAGATGAAGCTGACCTTTTTTGGATTTTTTGTTGTTTTGTTGTTTTTTGGTTTTTTTTTTTAAACCAGATTCTCCTGCATTGTGGAAGTAATAAATACAGAGGGTGCCTTTCAGCTCCTGGTAGCTGGGAGGATAAATTGGAATCTGACACATTGAAGGGCCACAGTGTAAGGAACAAAAGCAAATCCTATTGTTACTAGAAACGTTGGAATTTCAGAACCAAAAGGGGATTCTAGGATTTGTTTATCTTTCACTATTCCAAATCTCTGGGGATGTTCACTCTGCTCTGACTAGACCTTAAAACAGCTCGTCCTTTTAACTCCTGACTTCCCTGTGCAAGCAAGATGCTCTTGTTTCCAAGGTACAAGTGCAGCACAGGTGTGTACGTGCTAAACTTGTGGCCCTCATTTAATCTAAACACTGAATATATAGATCCTAGTGTTAAGAGACAGTCTCGAAAGCTTCGCTTCGTGTGGACTGAGCTACCTGATGCTGTCTTTGGCAGTATTTCCTGTCTGCAGTGAGCCACCACTGCAGTTATCAGGAGTTGAAAGAGGTTTCTGAGTGGAGGCTTGGCAGGAAGCTGTTGATCAGAGGATATGTGAGGAAGTGAAACATGAGCAATGGTGGCAGGTAAATACAAGCTTGAAGTTTAGCTGGCTTCTGTCAGGTACGTACCCCAGGGCCTGTGAGCAGCAGCCTCAGATACAGGCAAGAACTTGAATTTTCCTCTAGACTGAGCCGGTGAATTCCTTCAGCAGCCTGCAGCACATATTCTGTTACTTTCCTTATCAGGCATTTTATTTATAGGTTCTCCTTAGGTGCCAGTTGTGCCAGCACAACTTAGATGTGAAGTTTTACAAATCCTCATTAATCATGTTGAAGTAGCAGACCACAGCGGTTATATAAGCTGTTCCTCACGCAGCCCAGCTCAGATGCTCTGGGACTGTTTTCACCTTGTGCTTCTGCATGAAGCCATGGCCTGGAGCATGGGGGAAGAGGTGGTGTCAAAAAACAATCTCTGATAGTTGATAGTTGACAAAGGAGGGAACAAAGGACCCTGATCAGTATTTGAAACCCTTGGGCAGTGGAGCCCTCTTTCTAATTATTTGAGGGCATCAGGGGTTCCTGAGCTCTTTTTGCCTCCCTGTGCCCCCACGATACGAGGGAAAGTGCTTGGCTAATGTGGAAACCTTTCCTTAGTCAGTAAGGGTAGCTTTACCTTCCCTTGCTCGGGGACCTCCATCTTTATCAACTACAAGCTGAAAATAGAACACTACCCTGAGCTGGAGCGTGCAGAACTATGGCTAGCACAAGGGAGAACCGACCAAAGTGCATTGATGACAGGTCCTCGGGACGTAGGTGCCTTTCTGACAAGAAACTTGGTGACTGTAGCTCTGCCTCCCACTGCAGCTGCTGCTGCCAAGGGCTGTGGTGTTCAGACACCAACCTCCTCTTATGAGCCAACTCCAAGCCAACATTTTCCTCAAGGTGATTGTGTTGTCTCATTGGGGAAAATTTTTTTCACAGTGAATATAGAAGAAACACATTTCCTCATAGGTATTACTCAAATTAATGTAGCTACTCGAGGAATAAAATGGTGGAGTGGAGAGAGCTTTGTTTAAATCTTCTGCTTTACCTCTCCTCACTTCACAAGAGAGCTAAACTCTTCCTAAGCAGCTTGTGAGCATCAGCCCTTTATTTGAAGTAACAGGACTTTTTGGCAGTTGCCACCTGTCTGATATGGGTGTTGTGCAGTGTTACAGAACAGGTTCCATTTGCTGTAATGATGCTGGACCAGTTTTTGTATTCAAGCTTTTTCAATTCTTTCAGCCAATAAATGATGAACTGCTTCCTTCCCACTACACTGGTGATCCAATGTATGTGTTTAAGAAATCAAGTCTTCAAATAAATGATTTATAAAAGTGGTCAGCTTAACAAAATACGTATTTCAAGCAATCATGAACTTGAAAATAAGTCTGTTACACATGCAAGGTGGAGTAAATGTGAGGAGCAGTAAATCTGTATCTTCACGGACTTTCTTTTGCTAGCCACACGGTGGCAGAAGATGCAAGAAATAAATACTAAAAAGTCAATGACAAGTCCCATCCCTACCTATCTTTCTGGCTAGCTGTGGTGCTGGTTCTGTTTCTTCTGCTGTGCTAGATCCCTTTCTTTTTCAAAACTCCAGGAATTGCTGTTGAAAAGCTTCTGTGACTATGGCTGGCTTTGAAGAGCTGCAGGATGTGGTGTCCATCATGCCAAAGAAGGGTGGAGAGGGGAGTGGAGATGGGGTGAGGGGACACAGGGAGGGACTCTGTGAGTGCAGTGAAGGTAATCTGAGGGTGCAGGGAGAAAAATGGAGGTGACTGGGGGCATGTGAGGCAGGAAGGGAGCTAAACACAAGCTGAGGGCAAGCAGCTAATCTGATAGCACCTGTAGAGGAAAGGAGCAATGTGTGCCCTGGGGCTCTTGGCTCCTCTCTGTGTATGTCCTGGGGTCCCCAGTTGGGGCCCTTTTGCTACTGGGAGACATCTCTCCCTAACCTTGCACACCCTGAATAAATTCCCCCACCCCATGTGCACTTTCAGTTGCCTCCACTTGCCTTCTGGTCCACTCCAGACTCCCCCATTTGCCTTCCAGTGCCCCCCACCTCTATTTGGTGTTTTTCTCCAGCATCTCCTTTCATTCCCTTGGGACCACTCCCCTTTCTCATGGGTGTGCAGTACAGCCCATCATTTGGCTTTTGGTGATCCCCAGAATCCTTCAGTGAAACCAGAGCCCCCCCATTTACCTGCTGGTTGCATCAGGAACCCCTATTTTTCCTCCAGCATGTCTCACATCTTTCTGTTTTCCACCCACTGTGCTTCAGAGCCCCCTGCTCACCCCTAGGTCTTGGGATTGCTCTGTTTCATCTTTTGGTTTATCTCCCCCCCCTTTACCTTTTGGTCCCCTCTGTTAGCCCTCTGCTGCCAGGACCCTTTCACTCTTCACAGGGCTTGCATAAAAAAAAGAAATAAGCTGCTTTCAACACAGCAAAGAATAACTTGATAAAAAGAGAGGCTACCAAAAAAGGAAACAGAACATATGTATCGTTCCTGCATATGTTTGATCCATGCTTCCCTCAATTATAATCTACACGTAGTGATTAAAAGCCTTTTCTTATATTAAAAAAGCGTTTAAATTCTGCGCTTGCTATACTGAAATTATTCTTAGCCAAGCTGAAAAGTATTTACATTTTTAGCTTTACTCCTCACTTTACTTTTTGGCTACGGGAAAACATAGAAGCTATTTTAATAGGGTCCTTGGCTAAGTTAACTAAAAACATGTTACCTTAAGTTAATAATTCATTTAAAACCTTAGTTCAAACCTGAATTGTCAGGATCAGAAAGACACAAACAGTTTTGCTATGGAAATGGAACAATATGAATTTTCAGAGAAACAAGGTGGAAGCAAATTAATACGTGGCAAGTATCACAATTTTGAGGAAAGGTGGTGCAAGTGAATTTCCTCGTGATCAACCTCAGAGATGTACAGGAAGGGTGGACTGCTGTGACATATTAAATGTAATGCGCAGACCACACAGAAAACCTCACAGTAACAAACTCTCCTGGAAATGCTTCCTTACACCTCCTGGTCTTCTTAAATTCTTAAATAATCCACAGCAACACAGACATCTCTGTTTTAAGTTAACAGTTTTGAGCAGGGACATGTGAGTACTTCCTCTTCCATGTACCAGTTGGTATCTGCTAATCTTACCCAGTATCTCTTCTCACCTTTTTCTGTTTGAACTTCAAAGACCTCCTTAGTCAGACAAATGACATACTGGCAGATGTTGCTGCCCTGCTAATAGGAAGTACCCATTTCCTTCATTACTGTTCATTAACTGTATTGTCGTAGCCTCAGGAATGTAATGGGAATAAATATATCGGAAGAGAGAGGGAAGCAAATCATCAGCTAGCCCCCCTTCAATAACTTCAACAGATTTAATGAAATAAAGGGAAAACCTTAACAAACTCCTATGAGTCTGGTGATTATAGCCCCAGAACAAGATTTTCCAAGTGATTCATTGTTCTGCCGTTACTTCACACCAGCCCATCTACCAGATATGTACAATTGATTTGGGCTTAATTAATCCCTTGCAGCATCTCTAAAGGGTTTAGGGCTGCTCACAGCAGCAGTGGGGCTGAAGGGGCTTGGGGAGACAGGGCTGGCAGAGCACTCTGCTCCACACAGCTCCAGCGCCTCTGCCCTCCAGCCCAAAGAGGCAAAAAAGGGACAAAAAGGAGGGGTTTAATGTAAAAACAGCCGCTAAGGTTCACCATAAAACCTGTTGCTCAAAAGCAATTTTGATTTCTCAGAACAGCCAAACCTCAAAATGTTTTACAGGCAGGGAATTTTATCATTTTGCTGAAAAAAACATGAAGGCAAAAATGGCTTTGTGTTTCCGAAACTCCTGTTTGCCCCTCCTTGGGGCAGAGCGAACCATCCCCAGGGAAATACCAGCAGGGAACTGTAACTAAGAAGATTTTTATTAATTTGAGTTTGAAAACACTGGAAAGGAGGAAAGCAGAAGCTATAAGAGGCAGCAAGAGGTGAAAGGCTGCTACTAAGCAGAAGAGAAAATGTGAAATAAAGAGAGAATAAAGATTCCCAGAAGTCAGAGTTACACTCTGAGAAAGTATTGCATGTTTAAAGAAACAACCCCTGTGCAGCACCAGTTAAGATACTTTTAAATATGCAGACTTAAGGCCTGGTGAAATGTAAGCAGAAGTTTCACTATCAACATTTGCTGAGTCAGACTTCAGTGTCAAAAAAGAGGAAAAAGAAGACACAGAGCACAAGTAAACCGTCTGAACTCAGGAAAAAGAGCATTAACCTTTTCTCCTGCCTCAAAATCCTTCTGATAAAACATCGGTTATGGAGAAAACTGATTTTTCAGGGGAAAGCATCTGTCAAGCAGCACATCTGTTCTGATACCTCCAGAAAGCAGACAGAGGGGGGGATGTCACACACACTGCTGATTACCTCCTGCTCTCCGTCTGCAACCATTTGTTCCATTTAGAGGTTTGCATTTTGCTGACATTTATATTAATGTAAAATACAGGAGTCATAGATGGTGACGCTTTATGCTCAGTGACATGCAAAAAGGGACAAAACTATTCCCTGCATAAGTTTAGGGAAAGAAGAAATTAGTATGTTTTGCACGACAAGATGATATATATCCAAGCCCTTGAGGACTTTAATTTAGCTCATCTGGAGAAGCTCACATGCTCCACAGGGATGAACTTTCAAAACACAGCCTGAAGCCACTCCAGGCACTGGGACAGCCCCTGACAAGGCTTTGCATCAGCAAGTTTGCAGCAAATCACCTGGATAAAGGATGTCCTGAGCTTCTTCCTCCAGGTTTAGTCTTGATTTTCATAAGATTTTTATTTCTATGTCCTTTCCACATAATTGCACCCATTATGTGTATCTTTCTGGATATTGTAAACAAACACTTTTCCTTTAATGTAGCTCCAGGTGAAGAGGATTTGAAGGCAATTAGGTAATAAAAGGGCAGTCTTTTCACTTGCTATTTAGCCTTGTCCTGCTTTTGCTGCTGATGCTCTGCAAGGTTCCCATCTTAGTGTA